TGGTGAACAACCCTGTATAATTACTTACAAGGTATTACTTTTAAATCTTTTTATATTATATGGAACTTTTGAAATTGTTTAAAAAATTACTTGTGGCTTTTGAAAAAAAAATGGCATGTTTTATTCCGAGTAAAAATGAATTTTTGTGCCTGGCCACAAAAAGTATCATTTTTACTCCTAATAAAACAATATACTATAATTTTAAAAGTGCTAATTGAATAACAAAAATTTAAAAATACCTTTACCTACTTTAAAAATTTAATTATATTTACGCGGGAGCTAAAAAACGAATTATATTTAATTATTTATTGACCAGGAAATGTAAAAGACCATTAAAAATTGCCCATTTGCCAATTTACACTTCTAGCATAACTGTTTTTTAAATAATAAAATTATTTAGAGCCTTCGTTTTTGCAATAGGCCTGTGAAAGTATCTTCCTGAAAGGCATCTGAGTAGGTATTGCGAAATTAACAAAAAATATTGTTAAGTTTACTTAAATATATTCTTACTCAATAAGGGAAACTATCAAAGATCGCATTTAAAAGATAAATATGCAAAGAGCAAGCCTTGTTAATGAGGAAAAATGTTTTAACTACTACTTTTGTATAAGTTGAAAACGGTTATAAATTGCAGTCATTCCATTCATTAAATTTGAAGGTATAAATCATAGATTAATTTGAAATACTTGGGCATACTATTGAGAATATTATAATACACTGAAAAAAAAGTATTACAGTATCTAAATACATAAAACAAATTGTTAACAAATCAAATACTAAATTATATTATTTTTGAAGAATTTTGGTTTTTCGGGTTATTAGGCCGTCGTCGGTTAGAATTGCTTCCTAACGTTTCGCTAGCACGAGTGGCTAGCATCTTCAGAGGTGTGTTTGCTCCGATTGCTCACACTAGACTGATCAAGAGCAATCGGAGCAAACACACCTCTGAAGATGCTAGCCACTCGTGCTAGCGAAACGTTAGGAAGCAATTCTAACCGACGACGGCCTAATAACCCGAAAAACCAAAATTCTTCAAACGATGGCCGCGAAAGCCTAAACTACTACATATATTATTTTTTCTATAGCAACTGTTAAAATTACCTTATATCTATCAAAAATAGTAGATAAAATAGTACTTTAATAGGTTAAAAACTTTATTTCGTCTCGCACGTTTTTTAATTGCTTCCATTTTTGAAATTTCTTGTATTCCTTTTCATAGTTTATTCGGGATTTAAATGGAAGTAGTTTGGAAATGGCGTTTGTCGCCTCAACCTGAATATCTGTTGGTAATTTACTTATTTTGTCATTTTTAGCTCCAATTCAATCAGCAATCGACACGAATCGACAGCTTTATTTATTTGTCAAATTACATAGAAATCAACACCAACCCAGCACAATATTTTTTCCACTCCTAATAAATTCCTTGAAATAATAATTTCTGAATATTTTTTAAAACGTAACTCCCTATGGAAAAAAATATCGTTTTATACACGACGATAAAATTGCATTATCGTCTCCCGAAATTGATTCACTCGGGATTTCATCGCTCTTGAATTCTATTATTATTCTAACAAAAAATAAAAACAAATAACTATTATTCTTCTACGATTTCCAATGCTGTGTTAGATGAAGACTTGAAGTAAATAATGTTCTATGTGCCAAAATCAATATTTCAAGATAAACAACATTTTTTGTTATATAACCAACGTATAAGAACGGGCTGTGTCTCTGTTGAGAATTTTTTAATACAATTTAATAGCCGTGGCACTTAGCACTTTATATTATGTTGTTGGTTATGGAACTCAGGACATTTTACAGAAAAAATATGACAAACCGATTTTTTGGCACTTAGAAAATTATTTATTTCAAGTCTTCATATATTAGAATATTTTATTAGAAATACACACACCGGAAAAGTCTAGGGATATTACAATTTTATCCAGCCATCGGCATCGTCAGTAATTTTATTATTTGCATTTCTGATATAATAAAATTAAAATAAACAAATATTTTACTGGACGTATTGGAAATAAAAATGCGAAATTTTCCCGAATTTTTCAAATTTACCTTGATTTTTATTGAACTCAAAAAAATACACACATTTTTTTTATTCTAAACTGTGAATTAAAAAAAAAGATTAAAAACCATTTTTACTTAATAAAGGGTATGGCCTCCTCTACTGTTCATTACAGCCCTACATCGTCTCTCCATGCTCCTGCTCATGTTGTCGATCTCTTCTTGAGGTACAGCCTGCCACGCTGCATTCACGGCCCGAACCAGATCCCTACGAGTTTCACGAGGCATAGCCATTCTCAAAATTCTTCTTTGGACCGCGTCCCATACGTGCTCGATGGGGTTGAGGTCAGGAGATTGTGCCGGCCAGGGTAAGATGTTTAATTGATGAGCACTGATAAACTCACTTACCACTCTGGCTGTATGAGGCCGTGCATTGTCGTGCATGAGAATGAAGTTTCTTCAAAATCATTGGCATATGGTAACACGACAGGCTCAAGAATTAAATCACGATATGTGATTCCTGTTAAAAACCTTTCAAGAAAAACGAGATCGGTTTTTCGGCCTAACTGGACTCCTCCCCAGACCATAACTCTTCCACCTTGATAAGGTGCACTTCCTGAACATGATCCAACCGAATAAGATTTCCCGGTTCTCTCCATACCCTAAGCCTTCTCGAATCCGGATGAATTCCAAAGCGTGACTCATCCGTAAAGAGAACATTGGTCCCTTGTTCATTCGACCACTGAACATGATCTTGAACCCACAAATATCGTACCTCTCGATTTCCTCTCGTTAAGGGTTGAGCACTCCAGGGGCGTCTGCTTCTTAAGTTGACCTCTCTTAATCTATTGCTAACAGTGTCAGGACTAACGGTTACATTATGTATTTCCTGGAGAATTAAACTAAGCTCTGGTGCTGTAAGAGTCGGTCGGCGTCGAGCATTTAATTGTAAAAAATGATCTTGCTGAGGGGTAGTAGTGCGATGTCGCCCTGTGTGCCTTTCAACAACATCACCACTTTCACGGTAGCGTGCACTTAATTGCGATATTACACTTTGCGTTGTATTTAATGCTCTAGCTACGTCGATTTGGCGCATTCCAGCTTCGAGCATACCCATGGCCCTTAGCATTTCGTCTCTGTTAAGACGTCTACGCTCCATAATGTCGTTTAATACTAAACAGAGTTATTTGAATGAATTCTGGCCAGTTATCATAAAAATATAGCCCGTACAGGTTAAATTCGAACAATTGATGCTAGGTGCTTTTTATACATTTGACAAAAAATGCACAAACACTTCTGCAAATATCCCAAATTTAGAAATAACTAGTGTGACTACTTCGTTTCAATCGAAGTAGAAAGAATCGGCCTACAAATATGTAGTTGTTTATTCAAAACATTTATTTTAATGATATCCCTAGATTTTTCCGGTGTGTGTATATAAAATATTTTAAACTTTTGTGTGACGAACAACATACTTTTTTTCTGTGTACAAACTGCCTTCATACCTATTAGGTATTGTTCACGATACATTAACGCCAAGTCGTAATCATAATATTCGAGCTCCGTAGCAGCATCAATGAAAAGTTACATGCAATGTTTACATAAGCAAAATTACTATTATCCGATGCGTTTGTAACAATTATTAAACACTAGAAATAGCGTTATGTTGTTCTCATTAAAGGAACGGTTGCCTCATTTTAGAAATCATATTTTAGATGAGATTTCGCACACAACTTGCATCAGTACGCGGGTTCTTCCTTGATAATTATTTTTTGATAATTTCAGATTCTTAATAATCGTCTTAGGATTGGTGTTTGTAATACAAATACTTTTAATTAAAATAATATCATCATAATCATTATCATTTTCAATATATTGACAGCTTCAATATTAGTTTATTTTAGTGCCAATTTAGAAAAAAATATGTTTATTTATAACCACATATAATAATACTGACATTACTGACTTTCAAAAAAATTGAAAGTGTCAAATTATCTACATTTCTTTCCTCCTCCATTTCCCTCACTCAGGTTTTCTTATTTCTCGCCTCATTTAATTCAGCAAAATATTCTCGTAATATCTTTATTAAATACTTATCTAACATCAACAAAAATAAACAAGAAGATTAACAATAATAATTGCAAATTTAAATACATTTATTTGTTGAAGGTAAAAATGCTAGACTTCTTTGACTTAAAACCTACATTCTGGCGTTTTAAAAAAGCGACTAGTTTGTGATATTTTGATATGACAGTCTTTTCCCTTAATTCTAGCATTGTCCGTATCATGCTGTACGTATCCCAAAGAGTAGATGGCTTTTTCTGCCTTGTCATGTCGCTAAAATATGCCATCAAGACTGTCTCCGAAACAATATTCTTAGAATTTCTTTCGGCACACCATTTTTCGTATACTTTCAATGCTATTTCATATCGCCCCCTATTTTTCTCTGGAAGTAAACTGACCTTTGCTCTTTTTGCAGCTTCTGTAAGTTCTGGTGGAGTACCCATATTAAAGTAGTCTTCATTATCACAACTTTCCGACAACATTCTGGCTTTCTATGTTATATAAATTTGAAAAGGTGAACGAGAAATTCAAAACTGTCACTTAGTTGTTTGTTTTTCTGTTGAGGGTTTGCGCCATAACAACCACTGGTACCGGTAACTATAGATATGGAAATTCCAAAAGAGAAAACGACAAATTTTCGCATATTTATTTTTCCCTATTTTTTAATTAATGATGTGGTTGTAAATAAAATGGTATACAAATCTCGAAGGAAAGTTTTCATTATTGTCTCGAGATTTAGTTAATCTCTTGACAGTAATGAAACACTTCCCTCCTGTATGTAATATACTATTTTCGTTTGGATTACCTTGAAGAAGATATTTACAATGACAAATTCAACACTAGTTGAACAATATTTTAAACATTGCAAACTGATTGATATATTTTTAAATAATGATTATTTTTCTTTATTACAATTTTAGGCAGTACTTATCGTAGCCCTCTTTGGTTTTGCCGCCTGCGGCAGACTAGACAGTCAGTACCTTCCGCCAAACCAAGCAGCCAATCAGTACCAAGGTAAATATTTTTATCCCCAAACCCCCAAAAGAATTTACATAATATATGGATCTCAACAAAATAGACTTGAAAAATATATCAAATTCTCCAACAAAGGTTTTGCGTAGCGTTAGTTTTACAGTATCTTCGAAGCAATAGAAGCAATATTATAATCTAAGTTAAAGAAATTTTCCTCACTTACCAAACTTTTTCTTCTAGGTGGTGCTCCAGGCGGATACTCAGGCGGAGCAGGCGCTCCAAACGCCTACTCCGGTGGAGGTGGCGGTGGTGGACAGTTCCAGAAGAACGCCAACAACGACATCCCCATCCTCAGACTAGACAGCCAAAACGAAGGAGACGGTAACTACCAATACGCTTTCGAAACGGGCAATGGCATCCAGGCTCAGCAACAAGGAAACGCCCAAGACGGTAGCCAAATCCAGGTAATTATTTGGAATACACCTGAAATATAATAGACATAATTAATTTGACTCTTCACTAAGAATATCCAAATATTAATTAAAAAAATGTTTGCTTATATGTTGATCTCTCTTTTTTATATATTATCTTATAATAAAAATATAATAAATATGTTAAATTGATATGGCGGAAACACATTGCCATGCCATTAACTTAAATCATACCGTCTATACAGGGTGAGTCTTAAATAAGTCCAAATATTTTTAGGGGTGGTTATATTTCGACCCCAGAAACACTATGTCTATGAGGTAAAAAAAAAATTAAAAGAATTCTTTTAAAAAATTTTTGGTATTTTTTTTAATTTTTGGTTAAAAAACATAATATCTTCATAATATGACAACATAGGTATTGGATTAAATGTACAAAAAAGAAAACCCAGAAAAGGATCCAATGGTTCTCAAAATTCGAGGCGAAAAACCATTTTTTTTTAATTTTCAAAGCAAAATATCTCAGTTATTTTGGACTTATTTGAAAAACAGTAAAGAGAAAATCTATTTCTTTTATCGAGATTTACCAGCCCTGAAAATATTGTATGTAATGAACAAATATATATGAGAAGCAGACTTTCTAGATGCATTTTTTGGGAGGTCTATTTTTTCGAATTTTGGCAAACAAAAAAAATTGCCACGCCGTAAAACTAGTATACCTACTTAAAAATGAATAAAAAACAATAAAAATAGTACACCTACATGTGAAAAATCCACTTTAATGAATCTAGAAAAATCTAGTTTTGATGATATCTGAAAAAAAAGTGAAAAAGACTGTTGACTATCCTTTAAACATGAAATTTCTCTTTATTTTTCTGCTACCACGGTCCGTATCCCCAACTACATGGTCCCAGTCGTAGTTCCAGTCAATATTTTAAGTAGTATTATTCAAAAAATAGAGAAGTTGTAGTACAAAAACTCTTCATCAGATCATGACAAACAAACAGCAGTATGTCCACAGCACACAAGGACATACTTCTGTTTGTTCTATATTAATTCGCCATTTAATTTAAGATAAAATGTATTTAACACGTCGTTTCTGGCATCATATTGTAACTCTGTAGATTGCATACACACTGGTTGAAAATCTTAAAAAATTGACAAAATGCATTTAGTAAGTCTGCTCCTCATAATATGTTCTATTAAAAAAAAAGATTCCTCGAATAAGTAGATAAAAAAAATAATGTCAATAACTCAAAATATAATATACCTACTGTTAAAAATGTATCTCTAACATTTTCACTCTTGCAGGGATCATACTCTTACACATCCCCTGAAGGTGAACAGATCCAGATCAGCTACCAAGCTGACGGCAACGGCTACCAACCTCAAGGATCTCACATCCCCACTCCTCCCCCAATTCCACAGGAAATCCAAAAGGCAATTGAACAAAATTTGGCTGACGAAGCTAGAGGCGTAGTGGACGATGGTCAATACAAGCCAGAATACGATGGAGGTGCGGGTAGTGGAGGTCAGGGAGGTGCTGGAGGTTACCGTCAACAAGGTAAAAAGAAATTACATGGATTTATTTTTATATACCGGGTGTTTCACAAAAGTGCCTCACCTCCTGTAACTTTTTTATTTTTCCTGATAAATAAACGAGATTTGGTACGTTAGTATATGACATAAATCAGGATTGACTGACGTATTCAATTGTTTTCGGTCGCTTCCTGTTTCACCGGAAACGACTACAACTTTTGATTTTTAAATGGCACGCTCGGTATTTTTTTTTATTCGATAAAAAATGACACTCTGAATAAAATGACACACCATATGTCAACTTTTGACATTCTCGCTTAAAAAATCGAATTTTAAATTTCAATCTAGAGTGCCAGTGGCTGACAAAAACACTAACTTTTAATCAAGGAACCTTGGAAAAATTGATTTGATCGTCTAATGTTTTCCGTGTCTCAATTTTTTCAAGTGGAACGAGAGTGGCTCATTAGCATATTTGAAAAAAGCATTTTTTTTTCGAATAATTTGGTACCACATGTTTCAATTTCAAATATAGCATATGCGAAAATGTCAAAGGTTGACATATTATATGTCATTCTATTCAGAGTGTCATTTTCTATCGAATAAAGTAAAAAAATATTGAAGTTGTCATTTAAAAGTTAAAAATTGTAGTAATTTCCGGTAAAACAGGAAGTGATCGAAAACAATGGAATACGTCAATCAGTCCTGATTTATATCATTAGACTGATGTACCAAATTTCGTTTTTTTTATCTTATAGAGATGATGAAGAATTTCTCGAGAGCTGTCTAAAAATTTCAATAGCAATACAGAATTAAAATAGCAATTAACAACAAAAAATATTACCGTTCAAAATGCTAAAAATTATTTACTTTTGTCTTTGTTTATTTTAGGTGGATACCAACAAGGCGGTAACGGATACCAAGGAGCTAACAGCAATCAATACATCCCACCCAGCTCAGGACAGAGGCAAGGAGGTTACAAATATTAGGTTAAGATAATTGTTATTATTTAAGAAACGAATAAATGTGATAAACCCAATATTAATGTTGTTTTATTGAATGAAAAGAATAGGTACTTTTTAATTCAATAATATTATAAGTAGTCTAAATATTATAAAATAATTCTCGTATAAGTAATAAATATTATTTTTGAAAAAATAAATATTATTATTTTTTTTTCCCAATTAACATTTTGTAAAAAATAAGTATTTTTTACAAAATGTTAATTGGGAAAAGGAAATAAGTGGCATTTTGACTTACAAATTTGTAAAAAAAAACATATTATAGTTGGTGTAAATGATTACTAGCATATAAATTAATTTTTTTATAATGACCTATCATTTGAAAAATAAGGCCTCTTAAAAAACCTACTCTTAATTAAAAAAAAACAGCATAAAATTGCAATTTTTTTCACAGTTTTTCTAAAATATTAACAGTAATATTAAATTTTGATATTTAGATTAAAAATACTATCAGAAATATTTGGACACTTTATTGGAGCAATTTTAATGATTTTTGATTTACTGGATTCATTACCACTCTGAATAGAGCAAAATAATTATTAAAATTTCGAAATAAATATACAGAAAAAAATAATATACAAAAACTCTGCCATCTTCCGCAATTGACAGCTCACGTCAAGCAAACCTATCGCTTATTTGTAATTAGTAATGTGCACTATAAATCAGTAACAAACTAAACATTATAGAAAATAAATTCCACGAAAAATGGTCGAAAAATAGCATACTCAAATCTAGAAAAATATCTATTGAAATATAAACGAAAATATAGCCAAGAAATGAGAGCAACATTCTAGATTGTTTTTAGAAATTCTCAATAGACTGTATATCATGAAAAATAAAACTTTTTTTACATTTGAATAGGAGGTTTACCAAATCTTATTGTTAATTTTTTGAATTATATAAAATGAGGTCATAATCTAACCTTTAATAAGAGACATAGATCTTTTTAGTACTGGCCCACTTTTGCTCTGACCATATAATTTGCTGTATCATCATTATACTATTGCACTGGGCTTATAATATTTAATGTAGTAATCCAAAAATTACTAAAAAAAATTATGTTAATTATATATTGATTGACTGAAATACCGAAACAATTTTCAAGTTTACATTTCCCCCCAATTATATAACAAAATACAATTATTAGATTAAAAATACTAATTGTACGAAGAATATCAAAGTGGTTGCCTAAGATACATGCAAGATATAGGTGATCGGACAATGAGAAATAATAATGCGTATATAAGATGATTTTCTTATATAGTATGTAACAGTGATGCAATGTTAATTATGTTTGATCACGATAAAGCTCTTGATACTATGTAAAGAGTTGTTAAAAATTTGGAAACAATTTGTTCTATTAATTGCTAGTAAACTAACACTGATTGCAACAGAGTCTAATTGGAAATTGTTGGAAATTTATAAGGTGAATTGAACGCCAATTTTTCATAATAAAAAAAAGGAAACTCATAAAATGTAGCTGGAAACCAGAAGTTCTGAAACTGAAATAGCAAAGCATGTTTGGATATACAGCTTATATCCAAAATTATATATTATCTTAAATAAGTTAAAAAACATAATACTTTTATAATATGGCAACATGGGTAGTAGATTAAAATTAAAGAAACAAAAACATTGAAAACATGCAGTAGTTCTAAAAAATTTAAGCAAAAAATATATTTTTTAATTTTTCTAAAAAAAATATTTCTTGTATCGAGGTCTGCCAGTCCTAAAAATAGTTTCTCTTATTTAAGACTTGTCCTGTATAAGAATGTTACAGGATATTTTGAAATCAATGCCTTATTTAAGCAGATACATGAATAAATGTCTTAAAGCTCAACCAAAGAATTTTTTAACCTAGTTTTAATTTTTGTATTTGGAAAATATACTAAAATTTAAAAGAATATATCATTTAGTGATCAAACAGTATATAGGCTGGAAAAAAATACAATACAGTCGAAAGAAAAAAACAGCGTCAGGATTGGCTTGAAAATAAAAAATCGCTGTCATTCTATACGTAAAATTATATGAAGAATGTCAAAGATCATCATTTCCAAGCCAATTGTCACCATAGTCCCAATAGTACATTTTTGATAATGTAACTGTAACATCAAAATATTTTTTAAAATAGTATATTTTGTTTAAAAATATCTACATATATAGGTAAAAAGTTAATAGTAGTTACCCTAGTGATAAGATAACTCAGTAAATATTTGTAAATTTATAAATATAATAGAACAGCATTTTCTTGACAATAAAAAGACTGAAAATAAAAAATGTTAAAGTATGAATTTTGTAGCTTTGTTGAAAAAATAACAAGTGGCATCTTCTGGTAATACAGTAAACTATACAAAGATTTACATATTTTCATACCTTGGCGTTCAAGAACTGGCAGGTACTACCTCGATTCAAAGAGAAAGGCATAGATGGTACTACCAGTTTTAATGTATCTATGCTTGTTATTAACTAAAATGCTATATTTTTTATTCTCAGAATCTACAGGGTGAGCCTTAAATAAGTGCAAATATTTCCAGGGTTGGTAGATCTCGATAAAAGAAATATATTTTTTCTTTACCGTTCTTCAAATAACTCCAAAATAACCGAATTATTTTACTGTAAAAATTTACGAAAAAACTATTTTTTTTTTGGTTAAATTTTGAGAACCACTGTATTTTTTCTGGGTTTTTTTTCTTGTAAATTTAATCTAATACCTATGTTGCCAAATTATGAATATAATAATATTATGTTTTTTAACAAAAAACTTCATAGTTTCAAAAACTTTTTCTCGCGAAAAAGCCTAATAGACGTGTTTCTGGGGTCGAAATATACTACCCCTAAAATATTTGCACTTATTTAAGACTTACCCTGTATATGTCATAAAACTGTCATTCAAAAAATACTTACAATAATGATAGCATTCATTTATTTTAATTAGAAGTACCGCTATAATAATAGATATATCCTCTTATTTTTACGATATAACCAGAGTACATAACTTTGTATATACAGAGTGGCCCTAAGTCCAAAAAATGCTCCATTTCAGGTTTCCTAAATGCGATCTTTAGGATTATAATTTTAGTAAAATACGTTGGTACGTTGGTACTATAAGAGCACAAATTTTATAAATATTTTCATAGACACACAGGGTGATTCAAATATAGTTTTGCTCCAAAAATGTAATATGCCTATGAGTATAGTAGTATAACCGAAAAAAAACGGTGTCAAAACAGCTGGAGATTGACAATAGATGATAATTTTGGCGGGGCCAATCTCTAGATGTCATTTACTAAAAATTGTCATAAAATTTGTCAAAAGTTAACACTAATAATTATAGGAAGATATTATAAAACAAAGAATAGTATCTTTTTTATTGCAGATACACAAATCTATTTCCAAAAATTATTTTTTCTCGAATTTTAAAGTAGTTACAGGGTGAGTCAACAATAGAGTCCATTATCTCATTTGTTTACAAAAAAAATGTTTAATATAAAAGTTATAGGGATGGTTAAGATACACATTTTAAAATTATTATAGAGTATACAAAGTGCTTCAAAAAAGTGTGGCGGCTATAACATATGTTTTTTTAACCAAACCAAACCAGCACCCTATTTTTTATTTTATTTTTAGATTATGCGTAAAATTCCATAACTTTTTTGTATATAATGTTATATACCTAAAATTAATAGTTTTTGTAATATTTCAATTTATTTAAACAAATGTTAAATTGCAGTGTGGTAAAAATTGTCAATGGTGCCATTGTTTCTGAAGTTGGAGTACCAAAATTTGGTAGGAGAGTTTTATAGAGATGAAAAAAAGATATATTATGTAAAGATATTTTAGTTAAATGATACAGGGTGTTCAAAATATATGAATTTCAACTACTTAAAATTAAAAAATCACAAATTTTTTAAATGGGACACCCTATATATTATCATTTTTTCTGATAGATTTGACAAAACTTTTCAACTTTTATTAATTATGTCATATCCCTATTTTTAATAGTTTGCGATTTATTCCCATTTTTACTATTTTACCCATATTTTCAATACAATTACCCTATAAAATCATAGTTGCCATGACAAAACCAAGCTATTTATTACTTACCTTTAACAAGTAGCTTCATAATTAGTTACAATTGCTGGTATTAGTTAAAATTAATTAACTTTACTCAAATAAACTAAATCGCAGTAGTGAATTTCTTGGTGTATTTCTATATTATGAAAGATGACACTTGGGATTTTTCTGTCGGGGCGAATAGTCATTGATTTAGTAATACTAGATTACCTAATTGCTGAAGACTACTGATATATGAATTTTCTTCGACATACAGTAAAGTTTTTTCTCGTAGTAATTCTGGTTTATAATTCATTTGGTAAAGCCAATATTACTACTGCCGCGAAACCGTCCCATTACACACTGAAGATGTTTTCTAGATAATATACATACATCTATCCTAATAGTAGTTAGCAAAGTACTGTATAATATATAGTACTGAACTAAAAAATGTGGTTTTATAAGCTTGACCGTGTATATCAATCACATTGACTAATTCATTTCAAGAAAATCTGTAACTATTATCTCTACCATTTATACTTATTACAACAAATTAAACTAAAATTCAAATCTTGTTCTTAACTTGCTTAACAGACATGAAATTGTGATAATTATTACTTTTTGTCATGGCAACTATGATGTTATAGCGCAATTATATTAAAAATATGGGTAAAAATAGAAAAAAATGGAATAAATCGCAAACTAATAAAAATAGTCATATGACATTCTTAATAAAAGTTGAAGAGTTTGGTAAAATCTATCAGAAAAGATGATAATAGAAAGGGTGTACCATTTAAAAAAATTGAAATTCCTTAATTTTAAGTAGTATAAATTCCTAAATATATTTTGAACACCCTGTAACATCTACTAAAATATGCGCTACGCCGACGCGGAGGCATCAGTCTAGTGTGAGCAATCGGAGCAAACACACCTCTGAAGATGCTAGCCACTCGTGCTAGCGAAACGTTAGGAAGCAATTCTAACCGACGACGGCCTAATAACCCGAAAAACCAAAATTCTTCAAACGATGGCCGCGAAAGCCTAAACTACTACAAAAAACTATTAATTTTAGGTATATAACATTATATATAAAAAAGTTATGGAATTTCACGCAAAATCTAAAAATAAAATAAAAAATAGGGTGTTGCATTTAAAAAAACATATGTTATATTCGCCACACTTTTTTGAAGCACCCTGTATACTGTATAATAATTTTAAAATGTGTATCTTAACCATCTCTATAACTTTTGTATTTAATATTTTTTTGTAAACCTCGATACAAATGAGATAATGGACTTTACTCTATCATTGACGAACCTCGAGCCAGAAAAGTACGAGTTAAGTAAAAGACGCCTAAGGCTTGACCTCGACAAAATTATCATCGTTCGTCATTCCTCAGCCGTCTTTGACGCCGTTTTTTTTTCGATCGTATATATGCGTTCTCTTTGGAAAGGAAAATATCAATAATCAGTATAAAATTTAACCCTTGTATAACATGAGCAAAACGTATGCAAATTATTGTATTAATGGCCACAATTCGCATCCACTTCTATTAATAAAAAAAATATTTTTTATTTGTCATATTAAGAATCAAGATTAGCATCATTTGTTATATCATTTTTAATGAGGTTCAAAACGAAAACTGAATAATTATTATAATTACTTGTTTATTGTTAACTCCATACATATAACACTAACTATAGTTCCCATTAATATTGTTTTAGGTTATGTAACATGGTTTACTACATTTAATATTTGATTTTTAAATCATAAGCTTGAGTAACACAAAAAAATCTGAACAAAAGTATTCTTCGTGGAAGGTTAATGAAGAAGACAAGTACACATATTCAAAATTTTAATAAAAGAATTTTAAATCTATTTGAATGAAGCTTCAAGGTTGAAAATGTCATTAAACCATAATTAAACAAAAAAAATCCTTTAAAAAAATATTTATTTTTGGCAGTTTTAATTACACTGTATTGAGCAATACCTTAATAATTACAATTCATACAAAAATCATAATAAAAATAATACAAAATAAAGCTGATTTAGCATTAAAATAATAGTTTACAGAAAATTTCGAATATTTTCACTTCTCAGTACAAATATCCACCATTTTCGTCAACAGCCTGTTGTCCAGGCTGATTCTGAGATCCTGAAGAACTTCCTGGAGTACTGGGAGTACTCTGAGATCCGAAAGATCCAAATCCAGGAGCAGATCCACCGTTTTGGGAACCTTGCGCGTTAAAAGGCTTGGCAGGTGGGTTGTATTGGTAAGGTGCGGAATATCCTGAGCCAGAAGAGCTTGGTTGAGCTGGTCCTGAAGACGATGAACCGCAAGATTGTCCGAAACCGTTTGATCCACAGCCAGATGACGAGCTTCCTGTTTGAGAACCAGATCCAGAGTTACCTCCGAAGGAACCGAAGCTGGATGAACCTTGAGGAGCACCGTATGAAGTGCTAGGTCTGGCAGATCCAGAAGAGAATGATCCAAAGTTAGTTGGTGCAGGACTTGGTCCAGAAGGAGCACCATATGAGGGGCTAGGACTGCTAGATCCAGAAGGGGACGATCCAAAGTTGGTTGGTGTGGGACTTGGTCCAGAAGAACTTCCTGAAGGTGCTTCTACTTCGTAGGTGTCATCATTTTGGGCACTTGGTGCATTGTATTGATAATTTGATCCTCCCTGAGGTTTGCCACTGAAGGAATTGGTGTTGTATCCTGATGAGGATGGTGAGAACGAACCATGTCCTGAAGATTTGGCGCCAAAACCTGATGATCCAGAGCTTGGTTGAGAACCGAATGATGGCTGAGTGGGTTGGGCAGATTGTGAGGTCGAACCCTGATTAGAAGAATATGAACTGGCAAAGCTGGATGCACCACCGTTTCCAAAACTGTTTTGTTGGTATCCACTATTGCTTGGTTGCTGGTTGGAAGACTGGTATGAACTTCCAGGATAGCTGGATTGACCTGAAGGAGCAGCTGATGAAGGAGCAGAAGACCCAGCGTTGTATCCAAAGGTATTTTGAGAGCTACCAGATCCAGAAGCGCTGTTTACTGGAGCCAAATACTTGTTGGAACTGCCAGAAAACTGACTCTTAGCGTAAGGCGAAGATCCTTGGGAACTAGGTGCGCCAAACGAATTTTGGGATGAAGGAGATGATTTTCCAAATCCTTGAGAACCGAAAGATCCAGATGATGGAGCTCCATAACTAGAAGAAGGACCTGAAGATGTACCAGACTGTCCAAAAGCTGAAGCTTTAGGAGCACCGTACTGAGAACTAGAAGAAGGAGAAGACGTACTTCCGAAACTGTTGGAGCTGGAGTAACTGTTAGGTGTATTGGAAGAACCGGATTGTCCAAAAGCTGAGGGTGATGGGGCACCGTACTGAGATCCAGAGGAAGGAGAGCTTGAAGAACTTGATCCAAAGTTTCCGGAGTTAGAGTAGCTATTAGGGGCATTTGAAGAACTGGCCTGTCCAAAGGCAGAAGCTGTGGGGGCTCCATATTGGGAGCTAGGGGATCCAGATGAAGTGCTTGGTCCAAAGCTACTAGATTTAGAGTAACTAGAAGGAGCATTTCCAAAGGATGAAGTTGATGGAGCTCCATATTGAGAGCTAACAGGTCCAGAAGAACCACTGTTAGAGTAACTATTAGGAGCATTATTAGAGGAACTGGCTTGCCCGAAAGCAGAAGCCGAAGGAGCTCCATATTGAGGACTGGCAGAACTGCTTGGTGCAAAGCTACCTCCGTTTGAATAGCTACTAGGGGCACTGGATGAACTAGGAGATGAAGGAGCACCATATTGGGAACTAACAGGGCTTGAACTTCCTCCAAAACCTGGAGCGGAAGATCCAGAGTTTGAGTTAGGTGCTGCCAGTCCTGCATCGAAGGATTTCGTGTTCACTGGTCTGTTGTTTGGAGGTAGGTATTCCAAATGGTCCAATTTGTCACATTGTGTGAAGCCAATTAGGGCCAGGGCAACAACAAACTAAAAAAAATGAAATAATGTATAAAAAATCTATAATTTTTAGTACTATTCTATAATACTTAAAAAAATAGTGTCAAATATATGTTTTTTTAGTAAAGTTCTTGACTGTAACAATGAAAACTATTAGTAACTTATATCAAGCTCATGTCAATTAATAACTTAACAAAGGGTTGAAATATCAATGTCAAAACTCGGAGTGAACCTGCTGTATGATGGTATTCTTTCTATGTATGACGGTAACCTGTATGACGGTATTCTTTTTAATAAAATTAGATTAAGAGTCTATTACGCTGTACTATTGGGGTCGCTCTCTGGGGTCGGGTAAAGCGGGTGTGGGGCCGAAGAAAATATATATTATATTTCAGAAATTTGCCTAAGGCTTAGCCCGATCCTGAACTTTTATTAAGGCTTGATTAAGGTTTGCAGAGCTTCAGCATTTATCATAAAATAGCGAGCAATTTGTTACAAAACCATATAAATTATATATCACTGTAATCACAAAACTTCAATCTATTTCCGTATTGTAACGGACCTTTAAATTATGTCTTTATTTTCGACAAAATTTAGTCGAAACATAAGGAATATTTTGTTGATGTTTGACTGTCAAAATCTTCAAAATATAGTAATAGTAGTATAATTCTTTATCTTTAATTTCCTTTTTCATTTGTGTAAAAATACCTAGCCAATTTTACATAAAACATTAAATGCCGAACGGTTATTTTGCTACTTTTTCGGACTAGTAATGGACTCTTAAATATGAAAAATTTTCAAAATTCCGCCAAAAATATATTGAAGAAAATTTAATAATTATTAGCAAAAACTATTAAAACATCAAACGATGTTGTGAAGTGTTACAATTTCATAACATTGACATATTAGATAATAAAATTAGGTATACGACACTAAGTAAAGAATGCAAACGATAGTTAAAAGATATATTTTACAAATTAACATAAATAAACTCTGTATACTTACCGACTTCATCTCGAGAAAGCCACTTATTTAAGTAGCTGTAGTGTCCCAAAAAAGGACAATATTTTATTAATGAGATGGTTTGAACGAAACCACTCAACTGATAATTCCAAAAATGGGCGTCACATTTTTATACGCGCAGAAATCGGCCATCTCCCACTATAACTGACACATCTTTTGCCACTAATGAGTTATTGAGCATTAATTAGTACTATTTTAGAGCTTTTAAAAAAATACACACACCGTACAAGAACACACACATACACAAAAATATCCGATATTGAATCTATTAAAAAAAAAGATATAGAAAGGATCGTGATTGTTTGTAACCTTTATTGTCGAGGAATATCCGCGCTATATGCAATTTTTTATGTGCGTGTGATGATCTCAATGCTGACATTTTTAAAATTTACTGAAGATTGTTTGACGTACGATGCGTCAGGACAGGATCGTAATTCAAATATGTATAATTTATTGTCCAGATGGTTTAATTTATACGTTTTATTTTTTTTAATCATTAAACTTGTGACTAAATGAAAATTGGCAATCATTTAACCACTCTAACAATTTATTTACATCATTAATGTCGCATAAATATAATACAATATTTTTCTGTCCCAACCACCGATAGTTATTTTTTATACAAGACGATAAAATTGGCGAGTGAATTAATTTCGGGAGACGACGTATGCAGAAAATATTATTTCAAGGAATTTATTACGAGTAGAAAAAATATTGTGCTGGGTTGGCGTTGGTTTCTATGCAATTTGACAAATAAATAAAGCTGTCTCTTTAGTTGTCAGTTTTGAGTCAATATTTTTTAATTTTCTTTCGTGTCGATTGCTGATTAAATTGGAACCAGAAATGGCTCAAAATGAAATAAGTAAATTGCCAACAGATATTCAGGCTGAGGCGACAAACGCCATATCCAAACTACTTCCATTTAAATCCCGAATAACTTATTAAAAGGAATACAAAACATTTTCAAAAATGGAAGCAATTAAAAAACGTGCGAGAAGAAATAAAGTTTTTAACCTATCCACGCTGTTAAAGTATCATTTAATCTGCCTTAGCGGTTAAAGTACTATTTTTGATAGATATAAGGCAATTTTAACAGTTGCTATGGAAAAAGGTATTTTTGTATTCCTTTTGGTAAATGGATTCACTTTTAGATGGAAGTAACGCTTGTTGATATTCGTCGCCTTTTTTTTAATATTTCCTCCATTTTAATGGAAACGCACTCGAACGTGTGCCGAATTTGTGCGAAAGGCCTTTTTTTGATAAAAAACTGAACTCGAAAGACATCAACTGTCAATTTATGAACAGGTCATTTAATACAATAGTAACCTGGCAGCAAACAAAGTTCCTACCTGTATATATTGAGATCATCCCGACAGAAATTATCATAGATTATCATTTCAAAGGTTACTCAACTCCATTTTTTTTCGTTAGAGAGGGCTTTAAAGATTCTTTATATTTACGATTATTCCGAGGGTTATTATATTATAGACTAGCGTGTACCCGCGACTTCCCGTCGAATTAATCATTTGTAATGGTGATGATAAAGTAAAGCAAGAATTTCCATTAACATACAAACTGGATAAAATTTTCTCACATTTATGTCAGCATGAGAAAAAACAATCGAGAAACCCCTCCTTATCGAACCTCTACACCCCACAACATTAAGCAGTTTAAGCAGAATCGTGATTACTCAATGGTCATATTTTATGAAACACCCTGTATAAATTTTTTTAGAAATCTTGAAATATGTAAAACAACAAAATAAAATATCCGTGTTTAAGAGTTTTTCCGAAAAGCTCACCGGTTTTTAAATAAAAAATATTCTAACATTTGAGGGGTGGTTTCACCCCCTTAGAATTCGACTTTCGAAGAATCCCTTCTTATCGAACCTCTACACCCTAAAGTCAATCCGTTTTCCAAAAATCAGCTTTTTACGTCAAGCGCTTTAAGTAGGATCGTGATTAATCAATGACCAGATTTTTCGAAACACCCTGTCTACATTTTTAAAAAATCTTAAAATAACATATTATTACAAAAAAAATATACAAAATAAAATATTCGTGTTTAAGCGTTTTTTCGGAAACTTGACCGTTTTTTTAAATAAAAAATATTGTAATATTTGAGGGGTGGTTTCACCCCCTTGGAACTGGAATTTCGAATAATCCCTTCTTATCGAACCTCTACACCCTAGAATCAACCTGTATGCCAAAATTGAGCTTCTTACGTTTGAGTGGTTTGAGCAGGATCGTGATTAATCAGTGAGTCAGTCACTTAAAGATTTTATACATACCTATATTAGTATAGATTATATCATATATCTATCATTTGAATATTATAGTATATTAATAATATCTATATTTCAGGTAAGAATTAAAAGAAGACGAGTACATATTTATAAATAAACAAAAGTTACTAATATTTGGATACTAACGAAACGCATTACATAAAGAACCTAATAAACTATTAATGTATTCATTTATTGTTTAAGCAGCAATAAACGAATCAGTGTTTTTTTTCTGAAGAAAGATATCCTAATTCTATCAGTAAACTCGAAAAAAGGTCGTCTAAACCAAATCATTCTGGTGAAATAATAATTCATTCATAAATTTTCCAAATAATTTGTTCTATTTGTTTGTAAAAACCCGGTAGTTTCGTATACATACTTGTTGACTTTATTTTCGCTTTCAGAAAAAAAGGTATACAGGGTGTCATTGAAAGGGTGTAAAAAAAACAAGAGTTCTTTTTTTGTAGGAAAGGGTATGTAGTTTTCAAAAAATGAACCCACGGTGCAAAAAAAATAACCTCAAAAAAGATATTCACAAAACAACCCTCTACCCTTGCAAAAACTGCCCTTTCCGCTTTTCCAAATATTTTTTCAGTATCACAATTTGATTTAGGGTCAAAATTTATGGCAGAGCATTTTTTTTCGAAATTTTATCTCGTTTTTTAAGTCTACAATTTCAAAACAACCGTTTTTTAAATTCACCCTTTCAGTGCCCCTAACTCCCTTAATATGCATTGTCCGCCCGATACTTATAGGAACTTTTTTTACTATTTTTAGGAGTACTATCACCCCCCGATTTTTACACCATTTCAATGACACCCTGTATATTATTTTTATTTAGTCTTTCGAGGGTTGTTACTTCTTCGTAGAGCATTTTAGGGCATATGTTCAAGGGACCTTTTTGTTTTATTTTTATCTATAGAATCACCCACCAAAATAAGATACACTATTTTTTTGAAACCCTGTATATCATAACTATCAAAAAACTAAGTACACCTCTGCAAAATCAACAAAGAATTAAATCAAAATGTTTGTTCTCAACCGCCGGAACATCTTTATAGAATTTTAAAATAAATTATCGCCGGTAGTACGAGACAGAATAGTACCTATTAATACGCACTTACATACGTGTATGAATGAAAAATAATAATGATTCCCAGTAACCGAATTTTTTCTAATTGATTTCTTACAAACAGCCACAAAAAATCTTACAGATTCGCATACAAAACAGTCAATTTGTCTATTTACCTAGCAATAAACTTAAAATTCAAGAACTTCGGTATTTTACGTTCATTCAAACATCACGTATGTTTATTAGTCGTATTGGTAAGCTCTTCCTTGATGGGTTATATAAAAAAATATTAATTTAAGATTTAGTGAATATTAGAGTGTGTCCTAAGGTCAAAATATTTATAATACAAGGTGAGAAAAATTTAATAGTAGTATTATCCAAATATGTATGCGAGATTAAGTTTGGAGTTTCAAATTGTGTTACTGTGTAGAGGATGGGTCAAATTCGACGAAATATTGGTGTATGGAGCTCAATTTTTATCAAAATCATAATGGTGAAAACCGCACATCAGTATCTGTTACCGTTCCGGAGTTACGGGGTGTTTTTCCAAAATGTTTATTTTTTTAAAAATCGCTGTAACTTTTTTGCTATGTAAAATTTTGTATTTTTGTCAAAACATTTCCAAAGCACCTTTTTACGTAGAATTTAATGGTTTAAATATATATTTTTTTTAAATTAATAATTTAAGAATTATCAACAGAAAATTTGATTTTTTATATGGGACACCCTATATATTTTTAAACTATATTTAACATCAACACATTTAAAATATATCTAATAACAATAAAAATTAATAGCAAACCAAAACATGAGATTTTCCTACAAGTGTTCGACATATCAACCGTCTTCTGTTATGGACAGAAGACCGTTTTTGAACATTTCTCGCGGAATTCATTAACTCAGTGGGGATGAAAGATACCCTCGCATAATGGCTAAGTACTTCTAATTCTTGTCTAGAACCTTTATTCTTCCGTAAAGATAAAAATCCACTAAGGATAACAGGCACTAAGTCCGGCGGCCTCGACGGCCAACAGCTGGGACCTTGGTTAGCTATTCAATTATTCTCGAAATTCGCTGCAAAAATTTGCTGATAACTTCAGCGTTCTGGGGCGGTGCCTCGTCTTGCCGGAAAAATATGTTTTCGAGTTCCACTAGGGGCAGATCATCAATAAGGGGTCCAAAGCCTACTAGTTTAAAAGTGGCAAACTTATAAAAATTATCTATTTCGAAGGGGACTATAACAAGATATCAAGTGTGTTATATTTTCGGAAAGATTATTTTAAGTTATTTTAATTAAATTAAAAATATACACGGTGTCGCAAATAAGAAATCAATTTTTCTATTGATAACTCTTAAATTATCAATTTAAAAAAAATATATACTTAAACCATTAAATTAAAAAACCAAGAAAGGGGGACACAACAGATCTATAAGTAAAAGCTTTAGTTTCGTGGACCAATCAACTTTTATCAGAAATCAAAAGGTAACTGTGAAAGGAACAAGGGACTGAATTTTTTTCTGAAATAAATATAAAAGTTGATAACTGTTCCTAGGCAATCGTGTTTTATATATACTTTGGAATATTTTGAAACTCTCTCATTATTTATTCTTTTAATTTATATTATGCTATATTGTTTAGCATATAAGTGCATCTACTATATTTCAGTGTAGTATAACTTTAAGAAAAAATCATTTCGCAAGATTACAAGGTTGCCTTACTTACATAAAATAGGGAACTGAGAATATATATGTATCCTAATCATTTATCTAAATAAATATATCGAAAGCATAAATAGTGAAAGATATATGTATGAGTGTTTGCAAGTTTTTAGAGAGTATACTATGTCGAAAGAAGATAACAAAAACAATATGGTTTTA